CCCTGGGCGGGTGAAGGCAGAGCCCGTCCACACCACGGCCTCTGTCGTGGCCAAGAACCTGGCCCTGCTCAAAGCCCGCTCCTTCGACGTGACCTTTGACGTGGGGGACGAGTACGAGATCATCGAGACCATAGGCAATGGGGCCTATGGGGTGGTGTCCTCGGCGCGCCGCCGCCTCACGGGTGAGCTGGCTTCCTGAGGCTCAGCATGTGTGGACTGCTTTCCAGAGGCGGTGAGGAACCCGCACGGTCCCGGGAGGATCAGCTGCGCCGGGGATTCTGGGTCCACTCACCACTTACCGACTAGGTGCCAGCTCCCCGTTAGGTACCCTTCTCAGGAACCCTGCTGCTCCCAGTCAGCCTACCTCCCTCCTCCTTAGCAAAATCATATCCCTGTAAGCCAGAATAGAGAGGTGCTCCTTGGCGTCCAAAAAGATAGTCCCTTAGAGCCAGAGATTGGCACAATGGCTTGCTTGTTGATGGAATGGGGAAGATCGGGGATGGAGAGTGAGCTCGGAGTACAGTCCAGACCACCACTAACGAGCCGTGTCTCCTCTGTATGTGAGCTCTTAGGACCTGCCTCATGAGGTAGTTGTGAAGTTAAAATTTGGTATATGTCACACACAGGGTCTTGCACACAGTAGGTACACGCCTGTTGTTAGTTGAGTTCTGGAAGGGCAGTGTGACAGGGGCCTGCAGCTGCGTCAAGGTACTCTCTGCTTTATGCCTTTTCCCTGCTCTCCAGGCCAGCAGGTGGCCATCAAGAAGATACCCAACGCTTTTGACGTGGTGACCAACGCCAAACGGACCCTCAGGGAACTGAAGATCCTCAAACACTTCAAACACGACAACATCATCGCCATCAAGGACATCCTGAGGCCCACTGTGCCCTATGGAGAGTTCAAATCTGTGTAAGGAGTGGGGTAGGAGAAGGAGATGCTGTTGGTACCAGAGGAGAAGTCCAGGCTACCCACTACGGCCAACCATGCTGACGTTCTGGGAGGGCAGTTGAACCTAGTGTGAGACAGGTCGGGGAAAGCCCCATGACTCCCGGGAGCAGTGCACCTCCAGGGCATAGGTGGGCCAGTTCTTGTCTCTCAAGAAGAACACAAGGGTTAGAGGTACAGCGCAGTGCTAGAATGATGAGCTTCTTCGAGGTTTTAGGTTGACTCTTCTGTATTGGGACAAAAAAAAAAAAGAGAGAGGACATATTTCTTTATTTCAACTATATAGTAAGTTCAAGGCTAGCCTGGACTACACGACACCCTATCTCAAAAGACAAAACAAAAAGCCCAAACAACAGGAGAGGGTGTGAAACAGAACAGGCCCAAGTTTTATAAGAGAACAGACACGGGACATTATAGTGTCGTGACACCTTCCTATTCTTATGGCAGACATAACTAATAGATGACAAAATACTTTCTTAAAAATAGAAAATTGACAGTCTTTCATAGTTTCATTACACCTTTTCCAGTAACTGCTGGCAAACAAGAATTTGCTCCAAAATTAACTGTACTGGCCAAGCCTGGTATAATTGAAGACTTTTTTTTTTTTTTTTTTTTTTTTTTTAAATCTGACAGGGAAATTTGATCCATGGAGAAAATGATCTGTCAAAAAGTTGTGGAAAAGTTGGGGCTGGAAAAATGGCTCAGTGGTTAAGAGCACTTGCTGCTCTTGGAGAGGACCTGGGTTCAGTTCCCAGTGTCTGCATGGAGGCTCACAGATGTCTGTAACTCTAGTTCTAGGGCATAAGGCTCCCTCTTCTGGCCTCTGTGGGCATCAGGTGCATATGCAGTGCACATATATGTATGCAGAGAAACATACACATAAATTTAAAAAAATCTATAAAAAGCTGTAGAAAAATTTAGAGCCTGGTGCTATTCTTTCCTATCATGCTGCTAGCCCTCCGGGGTTTCAGTGAGAGCGTAAACTAGAATTGGGAGGCTCGTGAGCCTGGGGCTTGTCCCTGTAGTGCGAAGAGGCCAGCTTACACCTCTCTCCCCGTTTCCAGCTATGTGGTACTGGACCTCATGGAGAGTGACCTCCACCAGATCATCCACTCCTCACAGCCCCTCACACTGGAGCACGTGCGATACTTCCTGTACCAGCTGCTTCGGGGCCTCAAGTACATGCACTCTGCTCAGGTCATCCACCGTGACCTTAAACCCTCTAACCTCTTGGTGAATGAGAACTGCGAGCTCAAGATAGGTGACTTTGGAATGGCCCGTGGCCTGTGCACGTCCCCTGCCGAGCACCAGTACTTCATGACTGAGTACGTGGCCACCCGCTGGTACCGAGCCCCTGAGCTCATGCTCTCCCTGCATGAGTACACACAGGCCATTGACCTCTGGTCTGTGGGCTGCATCTTCGGGGAGATGCTGGCCCGGCGACAGCTCTTCCCGGGCAAGAACTACGTGCACCAGTTACAGCTGATCATGATGGTGTTGGGAACCCCGTCACCGGCTGTGATCCAGGCTGTGGGGGCTGAAAGGGTGCGGGCCTATATCCAGAGCCTGCCACCGCGGCAGCCTGTGCCCTGGGAGACAGTATACCCAGGTGCTGACCGCCAGGCCCTCTCACTCCTGGGCCGCATGTTGCGATTTGAACCCAGTGCCCGGATCTCAGCTGCTGCTGCCCTTCGTCACCCCTTCCTTGCTAAGTACCATGACCCCGACGATGAGCCTGATTGTGCCCCACCTTTTGACTTTGCTTTTGACCGGGAAGCTCTTACCAGGGAGCGCATTAAGGAGGCCATTGTGGCTGAGATTGAGGACTTCCATGCGCGGCGGGAGGGCATCCGCCAGCAGATCCGCTTCCAGCCTTCTCTGCAGCCTGTGGCTAGCGAGCCTGTGTGTCCAGATGTTGAGATGCCCAGTCCCTGGGCTCCAAGTGGAGACTGTGCCATGGAGTCCCCTCCTCCAGCACCACCACCATGCTCTGGCCCTGCACCTGACACGGTTGATCTGACTCTACAGCCCGCCCCCCCAGCCAGTGAGCTTGCCCCACCAAAGAGAGAGGGTGCCATCTCGGACAACACCAAAGCAGCCCTCAAAGCTGCCCTGCTCAAGTCCCTGAGGAGCCGGCTCAGAGGTGCTTTGTGGGTCTGGCAGCTGGCTGGGTAGTGGAGTGGTGGATAAGGATTCTCGGACAGAATTGTAGGCCCTTACCTTTCCCTTGTCCAACTGCCCTGCAGATGGCCCCAGTGCACCCTTGGAGGCACCTGAACCTCGAAAGCCTGTGACGGCTCAGGAACGCCAGCGAGAGCGAGAAGAGAAGCGGAGGAGGCGGCAAGAGAGAGCCAAGGAGCGGGAGAAGCGGCGACAGGAGCGGGAGCGCAAGGAGAGGGGGGCCGGTGCCTTGGGGGGGCCCTCGACCGACCCTCTGGCTGGGCTGGTGCTCAGTGACAATGACCGGAGCCTGCTGGAGCGCTGGACTCGCATGGCTCGGCCTCCTGCCCCAACCCCAGCCCCGGCCCCAGCCCCGTCCCCTGCCCAACCCGCTAGTCCTCCCACTGGCCCTGTATCTCAGTCCAGCGGTCCTCCTTTACAGCCTGCAGGCTCTGTTCCCGGTCCTGCCTCCCAGCCTGTTTGCCCACCCGCCGGCCCCGCTCCCCAGCCTTCTGGCCCTCCTGGACCTATCCCTGCCCCACTCCAAACTGCCCATTCCACTAGCCTTCTGGCCCCTCAGTCACTTGTGCCAACTAGTGGGTTGCCTGGCTCCAGTGCCCCAGAAGTTCTGCCTTACTTCCCATCTGGCCCACCACCTCCAGATCCTGGCGGGCCCCCTCAGCCTTCTACGTCAGAGTCACCTGATGTCAACCTGGTGACCCAGCAACTGTCCAAGTCTCAGGTGAGAAAAGAGAAAGGTCTGGGATACCTTGACCTGGGTTCTGAAAGGTGGGTTTGGATTGTTGTCCATGTTGGATGAAACCAAGGAGCAAAGGGAGCCTTGCCTCTTTGAGCCTGCCCCCTTGCAGGCTCATAGCAGGAGCGCAAGGTCAGGGAAGAGGTGGTTGGGAGATAGACTGCTTGGAAAGTGGCCTAGAGACAGCCCCATTGCACTAGTACGTGATGATTTTGAGATAGTGTTCTTGTTCTGGGATATCTGGTCAGAGTACTTAGTAATAGGCTGTGCCCTGCTGACCTTAATTGGTCCTTCCTGGCACCTGTGTTGTAACCTGTTGATTGTCCCTGCAGGTGGAGGACCCCCTGCCTCCCGTGTTCTCAGGCACTCCAAAGGGCAGTGGGGCTGGCTACGGTGTTGGCTTTGACCTGGAGGAATTCTTAAACCAGTCTTTCGATATGGGTGTTGCTGATGGGCCGCAGGATGGGTAAGATGGTTGGACCGAGCTCCTGGAATGGGGCTCTGGCGGGTCCTTGGATGGCTGCCCAGCTGGCCCAGGCTGAGAACACCCATCCCAATTCCTTTTCCTTGCAGCCAGACAGACTCGGCTTCACTCTCAGCCTCCCTCCTTGCTGACTGGCTTGAGGGCCACGGCATGAACCCTGCTGACATCGAGTCTCTGCAGCGCGAGATCCAGATGGACTCCCCGATGCTGCTGGCCGACCTGCCTGACCTCCAGGAGCCCTGAAACCCACAGCTTGTGCCTTGCTGCCAGGACAGACCCAGCTTCACGGTCCAGGGATGCAATCCAGAGGCCTGCAGCCTTGGCACTGGCAGGGGAGGCTCAGCTTGAGTTACTCTGCAGGTTCATCTCAGACCCACCTTTCAGCCTTAAGCAGCCATCTGAGCCACCACCGAGCCATAACAGGATTGGGAGAGCCAACTCCCCCTGAGCAGTCTTCTTCAGTATTGTATTTTTATTGTTGTAATATGCATTTGTTTTGCCATCAAAATGAGGTCTGTGAAATACAAGGTTTCCTTTAACCTGACTGTGTGTCATTTTTGGAGTTGGGATAAGAATACCAGCAGTAGGCGTATAAGGAAGAGCCTGGTGTCCGTACTGTTCGGGACCAAGTAAATGTTTGTCCACAAAGCCAGTCCATCAGATCCTGAAGGTTTATTGAGACCTCCACTTCCCACCCACTCCTAGCCCCCCAGATTGTTCTCTGCCGCATTTCACAACAATCCCTAGGGCAAGTAGGGGACCTAGTTAACATGCCTATCTTGCCGATAGCTACTTGAGGTTGATGAGTAGGAGTTGTGGTGGATATTATTTTGGCATTGAACTTTGAGGAACTAGCAGAGACTGGTGGGGTTCGGTTCCATGGTGCTCACTATAAGGGGGTAAGTTGTCGGGGAGACCAAAGGTGGGAAGCAGTCTGGGTGGGATGCTGGGGTGTGACTGGCTATGCGTGAGCTGGCCGGCAAATGCCATAGGTGCTGCATTACTGTCTCGGGTAGCCCCAAACAGATGGGTCTGCAAGAAGGAAATGGGCCGAGGTGGAATGCAAAAGCTGGCTAGAAGGTAGCTTCAGGCTGTCAGAAAGGAGTAGAAGCAACTTGGAGTTTTTATGGAGGTCAGCCAGATCCAGGCTGGGATGGCTGGGCCGCAGAAAGGCCTTGGCGGGCTGCTGACAGCCTAGCCTCGGGAAGGCAACGGGGCCTGGCTTAGGAACGGTTACCCTGGACATGGGATGGGGATTTGCCAGGGCATTGCTGGTGCTCAGAAAGCAGAAGCAGTGTCTTGTGGGTACAACATGGAGACTTGGGGCTTCCAGGGGAGAGATGGGGCCTGCCTGGGCCAGCCCCTCAGGCCCGACGGATTTTCATCTCGGTGCGCTTGAGGGAATAGTAGAAGCCTTTCCACTGGGCCCAGTTGATGCCATTGGCATAAGAGAGGTGGGAGCCGCCCAGGTAGAAGCCGTTGAGATTGGCGAAATGGCAGCTTCGGAACCAGAAGGCTCCTGAGGAGAGGGCCGCACAGTTCTGCACGAAGAGGTCCTGGTCTCGGTCGAAGGTGGAGAACTTCTGGCCACTGTGGTAGGACAGGGAGTCACCTGGCAGGAGGGAGAAAGAACTACTGAGGCCAGGAGCAGAGCCTTGTGCCCGCAGCCAGGCCGTGAGTGACAGCAGTTGATGCATGACAGACAACATGTGGCATCCTACTGGGATGGAGGCGCCCTGCCCGCCCGCCCGAGCCACAAAGAGAAACAGCTGTTCTGCAGAGCCGCCTGGAGCAGGGCCAGGGCGGCTGTTCCCTGGGGCTGTGCTTCAGGTGGCTGGAGTCGGTCTGGAGAGAGCTGTGGCTGCCTCTTCCAAGCCCAGAAGGGATGAAGGAGCGGCCTTAAGGAGCCATGGCCCAGAAGGGATGAAGGAGCAGCCTTAAGGAGCCATGGAGGCAGGGCCAGTCCTATGCGATTGCTCCCCCGCCGCCCGCCCCCGCCCCTGCCCCTGAAGAAGCTGGTAGGGGTACCTGCCCCGCCGTCCTCGAAGCCAGCCACGTAGAGGGTGTAGCCGTCCTCCTCGGCACTGACCGCGTTGGGGGAGATGGAGAAGTCAACATACTTGGCATAGGCTGTGTTGTTCTCAAAGTCTTCCAGGTCCACCCGCAGCTCGTACTTCTGCTTCAGGGTCAGGAGGTGCAGGTTCTGCAGCCCTGGGGGGGAGGGGGGGGCGGCGTCTGGTCAGCAAAGACTTGGCTGAGGGGCAGCCCCTACCCCGTGGCCCCACCTTACCCAGCCAGTACTCCCCGTCAGCACGGCCAAAGCCCAGCTTGTAGTCGTTCCAGCCCCGGAAGAAACTCACTGAGCCGTTGAATCTTTTCTGGAAAACCTAGAAGCCAGAGGACAAGGGACTGGATGATGGGGGTTCAGTACCCTCAGGGGCTCTGCCCTGCCCTGCCTGCCCCCCAGGCCTGGCACTGCTGAGCCAGTTTATTAAGGACTTAAGTATGGGGGAGCTGCTAAAACAAAACACACATTGACTCCGGGCCCCTCATTAAACATCTGCTGCTGAAAAGGGGGTACCTACCTGGCCTTTTATCTGCCGAGAGATAGGAAGGGGAAAAGATTAAGGGGGAGTTGGAGGTTGGGGACATAGTTTAGTGGCAGAGCACCAACCTAGCATAGAGGCCCGGTTTCCCTCCCAGCACTGCGTGATAAGGGAGCAGGGGGACCTAGAATACCTGGCTGTGAGCTCTGGTACTGTGTGGCCCAAGTCAAGCAGCGTGACGTCTCTGGGCCATGTAGGAAAGGCACCTACCTAACAGGACCACTGTAGGGACAGCATGCATTAACCCCCTCAAGCACCTAAGTGTTCATTCGCAGCTCCGGATCCAGTCCCCATAAAGATGAGGAACCCAGTCTGCAGCTGTGACCCTGACTCAAGCAGCTGCCTGAGCCACATCTGGCCGGAGGCCCCTCGGCCACTCACCGTCCACTTGCCGCCCTCGGTCGTCATGTCACAGAAGACAGGCACGGGGACACTGGGGCCAGAGGGGTAGATGAGGTACACACCATCTGACTGATAGCCCTGAGCGTAGATGTCATCGCAGTCCAGGGGTTGCTGAAGGCAGGACTTCTCTAGAGCTGAGCGCGACAGTGTGGGGACAACCAGGAGAAAGACTGAGGCATAAAGGACACCTCAGCACCCCAGTTTTCCCCCAGGACTCAGGGACCCTGTCAGGAGACAGATTTCTCTAGGGGCCACCTGCCAATTTGTAGAGGAGGACACAGTCCTGCAGAGCCTGGCTTACAGTGGTCTGTGAAGGGGGGCTACTTACCATCTCCCCGGATCCCAGAGGCCTGTGGGGCACAGGGAGGTGTAGAGAGCAGCAGCAGCAGCAGGGGCAGGGTTGGGAGAGCCTGGTGATGGGAAACGGGCCCAGTGTAGCCCCCAGCGTGGGCCAGACACCTCCCAGGCCTCCCCCTTGCCCGAAACCCCTCCTCTCTATCTTCTTTTCCCTTCTTCTCCACTCTCTGGGAAAGGCGCAGTATCCCCAGAGCTTAAGTTTCAAGAGATCCCCACTATCCTTCTCTGTCCCCTGTCTGGCAAGAGGCTTGTCTCCACAAACGGTCTTGGTCCCCCAGGCCAGTACCTTCATGCTGTCAGCTCAGTTGAGAGAGGCAGGCTGTCTGGGGCCCCAGACTGCAGCCGCCCACAGTTATGTGTTGGGTCTGAGCCCACAGACCTAGCCCCGCCCCTGGAGCTGCAGAATGCTCCCCCCCACCCCAATAACCAGCCCCCAGCATCAGCTTACACTGTCAGGGGCCAGGGGACCACCTGGGTCTCATTAGGCCTGTCAGGGAAGCACTGTGGACCAGACGTTAACTCCTTACCAGCTGCAACTGCTCCCTGGACCCCATTCTGCCTTCCCTCCCTGCTGGACTTGCGGCCCCTTGGCAAAGCCCAGCTGGCCTCTGCCCACCCCCTGCTTCCCGACAGGCCATCTGCAGATGTCTGCTTCTCTCCCATTCCCATCTAGTCTGTTTAATCAGCCATCTGGGGAGGGTAGGAGGCGGAGGTGTCCATGGGCCCGAGAGAGGGGTCCCTACTTGGGAAGGCCAGGTAGGGTAGGCAGCCCCAAAGCTCCTGATATGGGAGCCGTCTGGCCTGGTAGGAGACGGGGCCAGCAGGGGCCAGCAGGGGCCAGCAGAGGCCAGCAGAGGCCAGCAGGGGCCAGGCAGTCTTTTGGCAAGCTTGGGACATTTCTGAGCCATGAGCACAAAGCTGCAGGCGGCCAACAGTTCTGTCTGCCTCGACTGGAGCCAGGGCCCTCTCCAAGCCCTTCCTGGCCCACTCCCCTGCTGGGTGACCATACCCCCACCCTTCCCTGTCCCACAGTTCCCTGGCCCATCTGGATTGCTTTTGTTTCTCCTTGTCCCACCCCTCCTCCCTTCCAAGCCCATCTGCTCTCACTGCTGCCCTCTCAAGCGGTTTCTCCATTTCTGTCCTGACGGAGCCCACTGCGCGTCCCTTGCTCCCAGAATGCCTGGTTTCCGAGTTCCTCCGGCCACGCTTACCACCCAGCCTCTCCTGTTTCTCTCCTTCCAGCCTCTGTATGCTGGAAGCTGGAAGCATTGTCCCAGATACCCCTGTTTAAGCCTCCAGTGGTTTTCCATTGCCTCGAGGCTGAGGCCAACACTTCCCCCTGGGACTTGAAAGCAAGTACCAACCTGTTTCAGCCTCCCTTCAAGACCATGTTCCTTGCTGCTTGAGGTTTTTTTTTTTTTTTTTTTTTGGTTTTTCGAGACAGCGTTTCTTTGTGTAGCTTTGGAGCCTGTCCTCAAACTTGCTTTGTAGTCCAGGCCGAACTCGAACTCACAGAGATCCACCTGGCTCTGCCTCCTGAGTTCTGGGATTAAAGGTGTGCACCACCATTGCCAGGCTTTTTAAAAAATTTATTACATAATTACATTTAGCGTTCCGTCTGCATGTGTGCCTGCATGCCAGAAGAGGGCACCAGATCTCATTACAGATGGCTGTGAGCCACCATGTGGTTACTGGGGATTGAACCCAGGACCTCTGGAAGAGAGCAGCCAGTGCTCTTAAGCTATGTCTAGCTACCCAGACTTCTGGTTAGCAGGTTCTTGGGCCTTTGCCTGGGTTGTTCCCTGTGTGCCCACCAGTCTTTCTTCTTGTCATGAGTGCTAGCGGGCAACATCTGTGTCTCCATTTCTGCACACTCAGCAACCACCACAAAGCCCATACACATATTCACAAATTTTTTGAGCACCTACTATGTGTTGTACAATATGTTGGCTGCCAGGAATACAAAATCAGCCCCTGGAATGGCCAACGTGTTTTGGACAATGAACCACAAATGTAACTTCTACCTCGAAAGGACACACATTAAACAGGTGAGCTGTCCAGAGCAAAGAGATGGCTCTTAGACCCAGGGAGAGCCCCTTTGGGCCTCCTTGACATGGTGTGTGGCTGCTGGTTAGAGACCTGTCTCTGTGTAGTTGTGTTGAGTCCTGGTGTTCCAGAGCTAGCTGCCCGGGTTGAAACCCACGTGCCACCATCTGTGAAGTTGGGATAAGTTGGGCAGATTCCTCTGTGCCTCGGCTTTTTCCTCTGTGGAATGAAGATGATCATACTCCTTGGTGTAAGGTGTAAGGGTTCAAGTACCAGGAACAGTGCCTACACCTACTTGTTAAAAGGAGAAATCTTAACTTAATTAAGCTCACGTTTATTTGAGCAATTATAAAGAGAACAGAACAAGGCAACACAAAAGCGATTTGTGGGCTGGGCAGTCCTGGGCGGAGTCAGACAACTCCCAGGAATAACAGGCTCTGACAGCGCTTAGAGGAAGCAAGTGTACAGGCTCTGACAGCGCTTAGAGGAAGCAAGTGTGCGCAGGGACCGCTTAATTGGTTACAGCTTACTTGGGTAATTGGTTTCTGAGCCGCCTGGAGTCAGCTGAAGTCAGATCCAGCGCAGGAGCTGAGGCCGCACCAGTGGCCTCCCATGAACACTATCTGGTGGACCGAAGTAACGATTTAGCCCAGATTAGCTCATCATCATCATCATCATAAACATCATGATTGTTCTCAGATGAGTGGGTCGGATTCAACACAGTTTTCACCCTTGTCTGTGGAAGACTGACTTGGCCGCTCCATAGTAATCATTCTTTCGTCAGTCCAGATTTTAGCTGGCTCATTGTCCAGTCTCTCTTGTGGCTGGGTGAGGTCACATGTCTGAATTTGGGTCAAAAAGATGCAAAAGGAAGACAAGTGGATCTTGAGTTTTCCTTTAGGTTTTCCAGACCTAGCTTCTACCTTGGACATGGGAATGAGGCCTCATCAGGGGTGGAGTGGGGTGGGGGAAACCAATAGAAACCCTTCCTGCCTTGTGGAGTGGGTAGAGGCCAGGCCTGCACTGCCCTACCCTAAACCTTATGTGGAAGAGAAAGAAACTCTCATCTAGTTCAAGCCGCTGGATTGTTTCTGTAAGACAGCTGTATCTAACACTACTCTCTAGCAATACTAGCACAAAGCTACAGAAAGGAAAATAATGGGGGCTGAAAAGTCATTACAACAAATCAAACGTCCAAAGTTAAGTAAGTAGGAGCAGAGAGAAGGAAACCAGTGGCCCAAACTATCATATTGTTATTAAATCAGTGATTTCTATGATAATGTGCACTTGTAGTGTCCAGGCAGGCACCCTCTTGGCAAGTGTCCTTCCAAACAAATGCTAAGGATTAGCTTTAGGAGTTAAACTCCTTCTGTGTGGGGTGTTTACCCACCACCCCCACAGTTCCCCAGAGTTTTCTTGAGTGCGAGCAGCAGGAAATATTAGATAGAAGGATTTATAGCGGAGAATCTTGTGGAGATAAACAGATAGAAAATAAAGGATAACCTCGAGAGGGCCTGGAACCTATTCCAACGGGCCCCGACTGTCTCTGGCCCAGGGTTTTTATAGAGACGCCAAGCGGTGGAGCAAAAGACCTCCTCCCCCAGCACAGCCAAGTGCTGACCATCTCAGACACCTGCACTCAGGCCCATGGTCCTGATCATCCTCTATTCGGACCTGCTGGGTAAAGCCACGAGGAACCCGAGAACGGGCTCCCACACTTCTGAAAAGAAATTTGAAATCACACACAAGGAGTCAGTACCCTTCCTCTGAAGCTACTGTCTGCAAAGAATTACCCAGCACTGGCAGGCTGCACATGCCACAGTGGACGGTCCCAAGCCCATGCCCATATGTGTGGCAATAACTGGACTCAATGATTACTAATGACAGCTTTTTTAAAAAAGCTGACATGAAGTTGGGAGACAGAGGGGGACACACTAAGGAGAGTGGGATTACGGTAGCATTGGTGATCATGATAAATACCTATTGTATGAATGTATGAAACTTTCAACTAATAAAAAATATTAAAATAAAAACATGAAATGGAGCTGGGCATGTGGTCTAGGCCTTTAATCCCAGCACTTGGGAAGCAGAGGCAGGCAGATCTCTGTGAGTTCGAGGCCAGACTGGTCTATAAAGCGAGTTCCAGGACAGCTAGGGCTGTTAAATAGAGAAACCCTGTCTCAAAAAAAAAAAAAAAACCAAGAAAAACAAAAACAAACAAAAAAACATGAAATGGAACTGGCGGATAACTCAGCGGTTAGCAGCACAGCTGCTCTTCCAGAAGACCCAGGTTCAGTTCCCAGCACCCACATGGCAGCTAACAACTGTCTGTAACTCCAGTTCCAGGGAATCTGATGCTCTCTCTCTGGCCTCCGTGGGCACCATACCTGCAGGCAAAACACCCATACACATCAAAATAAGAAAATAAAAATAAAGGCATGAGCCACTATACCTCTCAATTAAAAACAAAACAAGCCGGGCGTCGGTGGCGCACGCCTTTAATCCCAGCACTCGGGAGGCAGAGCCAGGCGGATCTCTGTGAGTTCGAGGCCAGCCTGGGCTACCAAGTGAGCTCCAGGAAAG